GGCTACCAGACCACACTACTCCCAGTGTCAATCAAATGATTCCTGGCAGCATGGAGCAGATGAAAAACAGAGGGATCCTAAGGAACCCCTCCTCCCTCCACTCACACACAGACACACACAAATAAAATTCCTACTCGCAATTTTGAAAGGCAACTTTACAAGCCCACACTGCATATAGCAGGGAGGGATGATGCTGCAAACTCATAAGGAGTAAGAAATTGTGGAAGGAGCAGGCTTATAAAGCCAGGCTCACCCCCCTTCCCTATTGGTGATCAGGCCTCACATGACCTCACCCCCTTTCCCTCGACAGCAGCTAAGGCTCATGTGTCATTTTTGGAAGGAGGGGCATTGAGGGCAAAAGTGCACCCTCCATACGCAGGGGGGTAACATTTTGAGAGTGATGTGTGAATGTGTGCTTGTGGGGTGCTTGCACATGTGTCAGTTGCAGGATGTGTGCACTTGTAGCTGTGTGGGGTGTGTGTGTGGTTGGGAGGAATATTCAAAATATCCCGCCGTGGTTTCCACAATTTTTGCTGACGGTCTAGTACAACTTTCATGCACATAGGCATGGTAAGCAGATACTCTTTGGCAAGGTGTTTGATCATGTGGGGAGAATGTATGCACTTACAACTTATATAGAGGCTACATTTAGACGTCTAAAGAAACATGTGGATGTCAGGAGCTGGAAAAAGGAGTCCTGATTCTACCACTCTCACCATCCATGCTACAAAATCCACCACATATATTTGAAATTTGTGACTGCACAATCTAAAAATCTAGGTTCAGATTGCCATTTTGCTTTTTTTGCAAATACTTGTGCCATATAGATTATATTTCAGAACCTTACATTAATTTTGGTTTCCATTAGTGTGTAAGCAGCAACTTTTTATTAATTCCTAGCTAACATCAAACTCTGAAGTTGCTTTGATAAGCAGTATTTCAAACCTGCTCCTTTCCTTTCTGGTCCCTGGCAAAACCTTCAATGAGTAAATTTTAATTACACATATGCAGAAAACTTTTCAATATCTTTTATCTTGAAAGAAACAGGACTGGTCAAATACATAAAGACATTTGCCATCATGTATGATGTGCCATCAAGAAGAATGGGAAGAGAATATGCAAACAGTCTGCAGAGGTGCAGTCAACATCTTAGGCAGTGTGGGACATAAAGATTAATTTCCATCAGTCATTGGCTTTTGCAAGTAAAACAGATAAAATTCCCTAACTAAATTAAAGCACCAATCATTGCAGTTTGTATACAAAATAGGAACATGAGGTTGTATTTAATGGTAGTCCTACTCAGAGTGGATGCTTTGAAATAAAATGCCATGGCTAACTTAGGTCCATTAATTTTTGTAGGTCCATTAATTTTTGATTAAAATTTAGTTGGATACAACCCATAAGAACACCACTAAGCTAAAATTACCTATCCCAATTAAAATTTGAAAATTATAGAATTGGAAACTCAGTGCATTGTTGTAACCCTTATTTTAATGCCAGTTCCTAATAATTTTGCAGTCTTCCGTGTCACCAGCACATCTTGAGCCACATCCTGACTGAGACAGTAATAACAGTGTGATGAACTCTTTATGTAAATCTCTGTTCAAGAGCAAAACAACAGTACATGAACCACACTTGCGAGGCTGCTGTCTCCATTTGGACATATCCTTTTTTGTAATGAGTTCTTTCTTTTTCTTGTAATGGCCCTCAAGTACTGCTGAACGAAGCTCATCAGTCAGGCACTCAAAAAAGCTCTTCTGTATTTTGGGGAGGCTAGTTCCTGTAGATAAGATGCCACTGTATTGAGAGAGCTAGTTGGAAAACAACTGTACCAGAGACTCAATTTTATCACTGCAGACAGGTTGTTTTCCTGTTCAATATCAAACAGGCATTGCCTCAATACAGCTTTTGCTTTGTTAAGACATAAATTTAATAACTGTTGCGGTGAAAAGCAAAAAATGCATAACCTTAGATTAATGGCTTTCATCCACTGCTTTCATGTGAATCAAGGAAAACTTTAAAAAAGCAAGCCAGTAGGAGCTAAATTCAGTCAGAGCCAATAGTTAAATGTCCTCAGCTAGACCTGTGAGAAAATGGGAGGGAGTCCAGATTTGAAATGTAAAGTGGCATTTGAAACACAACCCAGCATAGAGAAAATTTGACTAAGGAATTTAGATTGCACAACTTCCAGAGGGTTGAAACTGGCATCAGCCCAAATCTGGGTCCCATGAATGCCTGAGGTAAAGGTTTATCCTTCAAAACTTAAAGCACAGCAGGAATAAAATTGTGAGCTTTCGTTTGGAAAAATGCACCAGCATAGCTTTTTCTACCATGTATTCCTGTTGAGTGGACCATGACCCGGAAGATTGAAAAGCCATGCCCAAATATGTAAAAACTTACCTGCTCAATAAGCTGTTTATTCCCGCCTCCCTCAAAAAAGGGAGGTCTGTATCATTTAAAAAACACCATTACCTTGGTTTTGCTTTGGTTCACCTTAGGGCGTGCTTTTGGGCAATGTCCAGGAAATGCCCTCAACAATCTTGCCAGACCCACTTTTCTGTCTGAGACAGAATTACAGCATCATTTGCATACAATAAAAATGGTGTATGGGGGGCACCTTGGAGGGCATGGAAAGTTGGTGATGATAGAAACTCAGTTCATAAATGTCATTTATATATAAACTGAACAGGATAGGAACCATGATGTAATTTTGCTTAGTTCCTTTGGTAGGTAGTTCAGGATCTGTAAGATATCCCAGAGTGGTGTACATACAATCAGTTCTAACAAGGAGCCCCTGCCCCAACACATACAATCTAAAAGGCACGACACAGAAGGGAAAATGGGCAGTGAGGGAAGTGGGGGGTACAAATCAAACACAGGCACTGATTCCTAAAGTGAATGGAAACAGCTCAAGATAGGGAGGCAACTGTTGGAGCCGGCATTTCAGCAGATCTGATGGAATGAGTCCCGCTTCCCATATCTGGCAAGTGAGGCAGCCTGATGGAACATCTGCTAACAGGTAACAGTTGAGGGTGAAGAAGACCATTTGAGTTTCTGATCTTTCAGGCCTGACCATTTCCACGTCTGCGAATTCTTTTTTAAGCCTCATGAAAAATTGTCAGTATTTTAGTGCAAATTTCTCCTAATATTGTATACATGGTGTGACATTTAATTTTGCCTAAAACACCATTCTTTTTTTGCAAAGCAAATAATAATGCATTTGTGTGTGTGTTGCTTTCACTAATAAAGGTAAAGGTACCCCTGCCCGTACGGGCCAGTCTTGCCAGACTCTAGGGTTGTGCGCTCATCTCACTCTATAGGCCGGGAGCCAGTGCTATCCGCAGACACTTCCGGGTCACGTGGCCAGCGTGACAAGCTGCATCTGGCGAGCCAGCACAGCACACAGAAACGCCGTTTACCTTCCGCTGGAGCGGTACCTATTTATCTACTTGCACTTTGATGTGCTTTTGAACTGCTAGGTGGGCAGGAGCTGGGACCGAGCAATGGGAGCTCACCCCGTCACGGGAATTCGAACTGCCGACCTTCTGATTGGCAAGTCCTAGGCTCTGTGGTTTAACCCACAGCGCCACCTACATAATTTAAGATTAGCATCGTATTAAAATAAACAACAGTGCAAGGAATACTGACAAAACTGAAACCGAAGTTTCTGCCACTGCCCCTCTGCCAAAGCCTCGCATACCAGGGTCATGTGGCAGCAGGGACAGTGCACTAGAAGGGGTGCCACCTGGCAGAATTTCACTGCCCAAGGCGGGCCAACTCTGATACACATGCATCCCTATAAACTATTCCAGAGACTGGGAATCTGGTTTTGCCAGAAATTAACCCTGGAAAGAAAAGGTATGATGGAACTGAATGAGAGAGGATGCTTCCAATAGCCCCCCCCCCCATAACACACTCGCAATAACAAGGTCTGATTCTGCTAACTCACCCAATAATGCCACAGGGATTGCATGACAAAAGGGGCTTGCTGGAAAGGGAAAAGGCCTTATTTGTTTGCAATGCCCCATATACATCTGTTTTCTTGTGGGGTACAATCAGTTTTCCATGATATAGCTTACAATTCAGCTCTCACCAGCCATCTCCCTCACATGGGGCATTTATGTCTCTATGTGAGATTGGATGCAGACATACTTTGGTTATTTTCATTACTCCATATTTTGGTTCTTTCCCTACTATGTAGAAGACCAGAGATGGGAACCTATGGCCCTCTGGATGTTACTATACTCCAATGCCCATCAGCCCCAGTCAGCATGGCTAATTATCAAGCATGATGGGAGCTGTAGTCCAACAACATCTGGAGTGCCATGGAAAAGACCCTACAATGTGATCAGCAATGCATACTTCATCAGTGCAAACCATTACTTAGAGTTCAAGAAATAGCAAAAGCTTAAAAAATAATGTTCCATGAAACAGAGTGAGTCTGTTTGCACTTACCCTGGATTTTGAGTTGCCTATTCCCAGTTCCATATCCTTCTGTAGTCTTTTCCGCCTGCACTTAAATAACTTAATGATCCTTATAAAGAAATAAACAAAAGACTTGGGGCTTGGGACAAGACTGAATGGAGGCGGCAGGGTTTTCCCATCATCAAAGTATGATAACCAGAGCTTAGAGCGAGCAAATTTCCACTCCACATCACTGTCATCCTACGTTGGGAACAAAGAAATGTCCATTCATTTATTTTTGAATAGTCTTACTCGACTGCACATTATTTTTACCCCACTTTTCTGTGCAGGGACACATAAAGTGCCTTACTGGATAAAAACATGAATAACAAGCAAGCAATTTCAATTATAAAAAAGATGAAAAGAGAAGAGGCAAGAAACAGAAACATCAGTGAATAACTAGTAGCAGTGGCGTAGCGTGGGTTGTCAGCACCCGGGGCAAGGCAAGTAATTTGCGCCCCCTAACCCGTGGATTTGCGCCCCCTAACCCGTGGATTTGCGCCCCCTAACCTGTGGATTTGCCCTAACCCCAGATGTTGCGCCCGGTGCGGCCGGCCCCCCCTGCACCCCCCACGCTACGCCACTGACTAGTAGGAAGAAGGAAGAACAAAGGACTACACTCCCTGCTCTGTCTCCTGGGTAAAACAAGGTTTACTGAGAAGCACGAGTGTGATCACACCACACTCTGATTTCAGGATTACAGAGTCCTCCCTTTCTTTACCAAAGTCCCTCAAGCCATACTTGTTTCTCCAGTGACTTATATGAAGTATCCTGCAAGGAAGTGGCAGGTTTTAGGCATATCCAGTGGTGCTCACTTCAGGTGCTCTCTGGTAATGTTCAGTAAACGTTCTGGGGTAGGAGGAAGTTCTGCAGGTCTAGCACCGTAGCTCCACATACACACCATCCTTGTTCTGAACACCCTCCACAAGTTGGAGGGCAATCTTCTGAAGTATGGAGTCTCCTGGTTATGTGCTGCTACTGCTGGCATTAAATATTCACTTTTGTTTTGTCCAAAGTTCACCTTTTCCCAATTCTCTCCGTCTCATCATAAACATCTTTACCCAGATGTACTGAATAAAATGAGACTTACTTCCTAATAAGTATGCTTAGGATTGCAACCTGTTTCCTCCCCCCCCCCACTATATTCTATGACTCCCAAGTCCTTGAATCTCGTCGTCCTCTTTTCAGTACTCTTGGGACAAGAGTATGGCTGATATCCAAAGAGTGACTTACGTACTTCCACAAATTTAGCCCTGCCTAGTAGGATTTTTTTAAAAAAAAACCCAACAACAACACAAGCCCCATGCCAGAACACAAATTTCTTGGGGAGATTCTCTCAGTCTGAAACTCTGTTGCTCTAAATAGAAACCCACAGTCATTCAAGAGCTGGATAATGCAATAGAGAGAGCTATAATTCTAAGTAATAAAAATAAACCTATTAACAATGCAGAGTTATTTGGACGTGTTCCCCACAGCTAAACTGAAGAAACGGTCCTTGAGGAGGTTTCAACACTGTAAAATACCATTGTTTGCAACATATGTAGAGTCAGTGTTGTATCAATAAGAGCGATGGGCCAGGACAGTGGGGAATGGGGTTCAAATCCCCATTAAGCCACGATGCTCACTGGATCATCATGAGCCAATCACTCTCTCTCAGCCTAACCTGCTTCACAGAGTTGTGAGGATAAAATGCAGAAGAGGAGAAACATGTATAGGGCAATAAGTACCTTAGAAGAAGAGTGGGATAAAAATCTAATCAATAAATTAAAAGAAAGCAGTCAATTAGTCTGAAACATACTGAACTTTCTTCGAATTTCCCAGGATGCATAACATTCTTAATTATCGGTATACTAAAAAATAACACTACAGTGCTGGAAGTTTCTCTTGAGAACCAAGATTAGTGGAGTTATTTGCCAAGCATGCCTACATCTTATATACATGTAAAATATACTATTATCTATTTCAACTGCACTGTGTTTAGAACATAAACATCCAGGATGATATGATTAATTTTTTTAATGATGTGTTTTGCAGTCCTGCTGAATAAGGCGCTTTCTGGAATAAAAAATGTGGCTATCAGTAATTGATTAAGTAAATGCACATTAGCCCTCTTTGAAAACCTGACACCCTGCGATGTTAAGTACAGCCTTGGCTGTTTTAGAATAAACACCTACAGTATTTCTAATATGCACCTAGGATTAGAAGCAAGCTTTAAATATGGTAAGCAGAAAAAGATGCTTAGGTTACACACTGAATAATTAATATTTGGAAATGCAGTTTAGTCATTATAACACACTCCCAGAATGCATTTTCACCAACTCTCACCAGATATTAACCTTTTTAAATAGAGGAGGCGGCGAACTGGCAAAAATTGTCTCACACCCCTTTTTGTTAGCAAGACTCTCTGTTCACAGAAATGCATGTTTTGATCCAACCAAGTATACATGGATATATCTTCAAACTGAAATTGATACTTCCTGGATCTTAAGTAAGCTATCTACAAAAGCTTATGTTACAATAAATCAGGTTCTAAAGACCCTTTAGTATTTGTTTTCATATTAATGTAAGCAGCAGCACCACAGAGTCCTGTTGACACAGCAAAGATGACTGTGTTGATAGAATGTGACATAATTATTTATCAGAATCACAAAATTAATTATGTGAGGTGGAGGCGGGGTGTCTATGTTGTTACAGTAAATCTCCTGTTTCCCGGGACTCAGGTCATAATAATTATGCAAATCAGGCACATTTGTATTTATTCAATTTTGGAAACATGTTATGCTTACAGAGAATTTGAAAATCTAACCTTTGCTCTCACCCATCAGGGCTTCTCCTATGTTCTTATTAACACAGAGATAATGTATAATTATATTTTATGGTTTTAATTTTCATTTGTAAACCTCCCAAAGGATTTTTGTGTGATGGGGCAGTAGCTAAATGCTGGAAATAAATATGTACAGAAATGGAGTGTGAAGTTATCTCACTATTAATTTTATATGAGGTCACAAGAGCAGAATCATGCATCATGACACTGGTCTGTCTAGTCCAGGATCTTGTTCTCACATTGACCAATTTGATGCCTACAGGAAGCCTGCAAGCAAGACCCAAACGCAAGACGACTCTCCCCCATTGAAGTATCCAACAACTGGTGTTCATAAGCAGGTAAAAAAAGGTAAAGAACCCCTGGATGGTTACATCCAGTCAAAGGCGACTATGAGGTTGCAGTGCTCATCTTGCCTTCGTTTATCCACAGACAGCCTTCCGGGTCATGTGGCCAGCATGGCTAAACCGCTTCTGGCACAATGAAACACTGTGATGGAAACCAGAGTGCACGGAAATGCCGCTTACCTTCCCGCCACAGTGGTACCTATTTATCTACTTGCACTGGTGTGCTTTTGAACTGCTAGGTTGGCAGAAGCTGGGACAGAACAACAGGCGCTCACTCCATTGTGGGGATTTGAACCGCTGACCTTCTGCTCAGCAAGCCCAAGAGGCTCAGTGGCTTTGACCACTGAGGATGGATGGATGGATGGATGGATGGATTCTTAAGCATACAGTTTCTGACTATCATGCCTAGTAGCCATTGATAGCTTTATCCTTATTTTTACAACACTTTATAGCTGGGGGGTGACAGTAGCTGAAGGGAGGAAGAGGAAATGGGAAGCTTTCCTTCCATGAACTTTCTTACGTTAACATACCTTAGGGTCTAAGCCAGGCATAGGCAACCTTCGGCCCTCCAGATGTTTTGGCCTACAACTCCCACGATCCCTAGCTAGCAGGACCAGTGGTCAGGATGATGGGAATTGTAGTCCAAAACATCTGGAGGGCCGAAGCTTGCCTATGCCTGGTCTAAGCAGTTATGGTAAGCTGAGAAACAGTATATACAGAACAAATCTTTGCAGGGTGGGTGGGCAAAATAAAGCAGAAAAGTACCCACCTCAATTTCTTGATAGGAGCTGTTGATCATGGCAATCAGCATGTTGAGTAAAACCACAACCATTGTTACGTTGTATATTCCATACAACACGTAGCCAATATTCTCAATGAATTTGTGGTCATATTTGAGGACAACTGACGTGACCTCCGATAAGCCAAAAATTGACCAAAATAAGGTCTTAAAGCTTTCTTCAACTCTGTATGAAAAAAGGGTACGTTAATGAATTCAAATATAAATACTTGTAAATTGTTTTGTTTAAAAGTAGATGATTCAAGATCCTAGTGCAGACATTTAATCAAAACAAGATGCTCGCAACATAAAATGTTTTCAGATAACTTGATTCCCCTGTGGCTTTTTTGCATATTGCCAATTATGTTTGCGGCTGGTGAGCTGTATTAACAGAATTAAGTTTGACAGGGGAAAGTGGTGGTGTATTGCCATTTTTTATATCCTTGTACACCAGGATGCTGCCTTACAACTTTGATTAGATACTTGTTTAATAAAGTAAATGGCATCATCTCTAGAACTCCCTGCAAACTGTGCAAAAATTAAATGAAATATAGTGCAGAGGCATAGCTCAACTTGTCACAACAGACTTGCACTTTTTATATATAAAAGCACCAAATGTACATGTGTGTGCATGCACAGCTATTTCAACATAGCACAGTGTGATTCTTATAACAATTGCTTGCTTTTATGAAAAATGCATGATTATTATATGTCACTGTGTATTATAGCATGCGCAGTGGACACACATGTGCAATATTACACGCCCCAACTATAAATGCATTAGTCCATGAATGGTGTAGATTTGGCTCCCCCCCTTTTTTTTTTGCAGGAAGAAATCAATTATTATATGAGTGACTGTATGGTATACCATTCTCAATCTGCTGTGCATTCATACAAATCTTCAATATCACATGCCCTGTAAGCTTCATTTTTTAAAAAACAACAACATAAGAATGTTAAATAGTTTGTCTAACTACATAATGCACCTGGTTAAACTTATATAATAATTGCAACTCAAATACATTCAGTAACATTTACTCTCGGTATAGGCAATTATGGGCAGGAGGCGACAGAGGAGAAGCTACAATCAGCTGAATCCATCCAAAATGAACCGAGTGACAAGTTATTGTGATGGACATGCATGTGTAAACTAACTTGTACTGTAAACTTCCAGCAGCCTCCCATCACAAAGAGGATGCAAAACTTTTGTCCTTTTTTCATACGCATTACTTACGTCGTAAATGCTGCGTTTACTTTGGCTCCAAGGTAATAGGAGTACAATATGAACATCCCAATCATAAAGGCAAGGAATACCATAATAAAAAGGACCATAAACTTGAAAATGTCTTTTACGGTCCTTCCAAGGGAAATCTGCAATGGGCCAAAACTCTCATTCGCAGGCAGGATATAAGCTATCCGAGAGAAGCTAAGCACAACAGCTATTGCATAAAGACCTTCTGATATGATCTGCGGATCAGATGGAAGCCATTTATCTCGAGCTGAAAGAAAGAGACATAAACGAGAAACTGTTGCTTTATGTGTATTTTTTTATTGCGTGTTAAAAAAATAAAATATCTGGCCGTTCTATATTCATATATCTTGATAAAGATACATATTTATAGCACTCAATAGATATTTTGAGTAATTTGAATTCACCAAGACCTTGTAAGAGAAGTTGATTTGGAGGAAATAATTCATGACTTTGTGATGAAAAAGGCCAGAAAGCTTTAAAGTGATTTGATTTACTTATCAAATGTTTGTAGCCCTTCAAAAACTTCAAAAGAATAATATCTTTATTTGGATTTATTTATTTATTTATTTATTAAAAGTTGCAAAACAGACACCAAGCTTTGTAAGACTCTTTTTCAAGCTGGATGTTATGCTAAAACAAAAATAGGAAAAAAGGAGATAGTTGTTTGAGGGCATGATGGAAGAGATCCAACGGGGGGAGATCAAGGTATTAAATGTAATTGCAGAAGAAAATCAAAACTTTTCTTTCATGATTTGTAAGGTCATATGCAAGGAGTAGCATCTTCAGGAGGAGGCTTGTTTTATAAGTTTGTACTGGGCTCAAAAAAGTAAATATAAAGGTAAAAGGTCAAGGACCCCTGGACGGTTAAGTCCAGTCAAAGGCGATTATGGGGTTGTGGTGCTCATCTCGCTTCAGGCCGAGGGAGCCGGCGTTTGTCCACAGACAGCTTTCCAGGTCATGTGGCCAGTATGACCAGACTGCTTCTGGCGCAATGAAACACTGTGTCAGAAGCCAGAGCACACGGAAACACCATTTACCTTCCCACTGCAGCAGTGCCTATTTATCGTGCTTTTGAACTGCTAGGTTGGCAGGAGCTGGGACAGAGCAACAGGAGCTCACTCCATCATGGGATTCAAACCACCAACCATCTGATTGGCAAGCCCAAGAGGCTCAGTGGTTTAGGCCACAGCACCACCTGCGTCCCAAGTATGCTTGGGTGGTTATATGAGGTTACAGGTGCAACTCACCCAGTGGGGCAGAGCTGCAACAAGAGCATCCTGGCAGCAGAATTGCTATTACTTACTGGGAGGGTCAATGTGGGGTCTGTGGGGCTGCGCCAGTAGAGCCAATCTACCCTGTCCCAGTAAATAATAGCATTGCCACTGCCAGGATGCTCTTGTTGCAGCTGTGCCCCACTGAGTGAGCATCCCCTGTGATAATCCTCATGCTATTTCTTCAAAAGGATGCTAGCCATTTTAATATACTAGAGACACGAAAACATTTTTTTTACTTGCCGTAAGTGAAATATTCTATGTTTGGTGGAAGTGTGACTTCAGAGAGGTCAGGCTCTTGAATGAAGTTGTCCACATACTGCTGTGCTTTTGTCGCCTGCAGAAAGGCCAGCAGCCTTGCTGTGAAAGCGGCAATGAAAATAGACAACATCCCAAAATCCAGAACGTTCCACAGCTGCAAAATATATTCCCGGGGTCCTTCTGTCCAGAGCTCCTTGCACTCGGACCACATCATGCCTAAAAACCAGAAAAGCAATAAAAACACAGTGAAAACTGCTACACACTGACTTGGGAGCAAACTGCTGCTCTGCGAGACTGACTTCTGAACAGACATACATAGAATTGTACAAGTGAAAATGGTTTAGGTCTTTCTTAGCTGCTTTACACAAGGCATGTCATACTTGAAAACCACTTCCATGCAGAAAACTGCAAGGATCTCACCTGTCACACCAGATTTATGTACAGTGTCATAGGCCTATTCTGCAATATTACTGGTGTAACAGACCTCGTGAAATGTTAGCACAAAGTAGTATACAAGCAAGACATATAAATCTGCATATCTAACCCAAACTCACACTCAGATTATCTGAGCTCTTATCTTGATTACCAGACTTAGGTTAGTCCTGCAGGAAAGTGAGGTAGGTAATCTTCAGCAGCTGCTTGGCGGAAGTATTCCAGCCTCCCTCCTAAGCACTACCTGTAAAAGCAACACTTCACTATTCTCACCTGCAGAAGAGAAACTGCTGCTCAGCACTGATGGATTTATTCCATTCATTCATCTAATCTGGGAGCAGCTGGGTCACCTTAAGGTGACAGGGAGAAAAGGAAAGAGAAAGTATATGTGGGATGGTGGGTGTGGGTGTGTATGCACACTCATATGTCTAATGGAAGATTCAGGTGCTCTGAAATTTTCTGGCATTCTATTGTGGCTAAGGGAACAGTGTTAACTTGTGGGTGAACATATCAGACGGCACAGCGATTCTTCAAACAGCTCTTGTTTATTCACAGGCCAGAACAGAACTGAACTGAAGGGCTCAGCCAGCCTGCTTATATAGAGCACCACTAGAACACAACAGTAACCATTTTCTATTACTATCCAATCACTGAACGTCACTTTCAATCCCTTATTTGCATATGTGGACCTGAGTGAAAACTATCTACAGTATCCCCCTGCTGGCCCAGGGTGAGAACTTCAGTACATAACAAACAGACCTCCACAATTTTAGATACGATGTTCATTTTATATGAACTTGAAGAGGATGTTAATAAAGTTGAAAAGGCATACAGGTACAGGGTAGTATTTGAATAAGACATATGCATAATAAGACAACTGGCGCAACATACAATAGACCCGTTGAATTCAACACATTTGTCTAACACCAGTTTATTTTAACGGCTGTGCTCTGAATTTGACTTGGTTACAGCCCACACAGTGGCGTAGCGTGGGGGTGCAGGGGGGGCCAGCCGCACCGGGCGCAACATCTGGGGGGGGGCCACGCTCGCACTCACAGCTCTCTGCCCCTACCTGGCTCACTCACTCTCACTGCAGTGCTGGCTGTGCGAATCTGATCCAAGCCGTCGGGTCGCTGCCCACTGTGGAGGGGGGTTTGCCAGGCGTGCAGTGCGGTGCGGAGAGAGAGTGAGGGACTATCGGGTTAGGGGGAGCAAATTACTTGCCTTGCCCCGGGTGCTGACAACCCACGCTACGCCACTGAGCCCACAACTTTTAAATTATTTTTAGTCCTCTACAATAAGGTCTCCAAGAGAGCAAGATAAAAATGCCAGAGTTATTTTAAGGCTCTAGGGATCAGTGATCAAGGCTATTGACACTCCCAGGCTATGGGGAAATGCTGTGCAATCTCCAGAGTTTATTTAACTAAACTCTGAGACTTTCAGTTCAGTCTAAATTAAGAAACACAGCCATTATAGATTTGGCTAGCTGATCTATCTGCCTATCATGTTGCTTCTCTTATCTCTTTAAGTTGTAGTGAGATTTATTTATTTACTGGAGCAAGAAAGACTTCTTCCCAGATCCCTTGGATATTCAACACATATCCTGTAATTTGCATTGAACATCTATGGTCACTGGGAAGAAGTCTGATTTTTGCGACAAAACCTTACACCAGCTCTTTGTTTCAAAAAATATACGTTTTACAAGTAGCACTCTCTAAACCAGAGCTTTCCAAACTGTGTGTCACGACGACACGTTAGTGTGTCAGCTGCAGTGTGTAGGTGTGTCATGTGAATGCTCCCAGTGCTCCTCCCAGGGTTACAAAGGGGTTTGCTAGTAAAACTGAATTACTGTGTCGCGAAATGCTGCATGTCTAAAAGTGTGTCACCACCATGAAAAGTCTGGAAAGCCCTACTCTAAAGCATTAATGATGCTTAGTTTTAATTAGTTCTGTTTGTGAGATCTCTGCCTAGAAATCTACTACAATAGACCCTCGGGTTACTCTCGAGCAATGTAAACTTCAGGTTGCAAAAGTGGCAAACCCGGAAGTATTTTTCCGGGTTTTGCTGTTCACGCATGCACATAAGCGCTCTGTGCCTCTGGATACAGATTTTTCAGGGTGTGCACTGACCCCTGGAACGAATTAACGAATTAAATCCACTGTACAGGAGCAGCATACAATAGCTATGACAGAAAGCAGTTTTATCGAAGAATGCCACAGAAACCAATCAGGTTGACACTGAGATAGAGAGGCTATATACATACCAAGCACCCATACCATGATCAGCATCTCTGTCCAACTGAACTGAGTGGTCTTAACCCTAAAAATCTGTTTAGGGTAATCAGTAACTGTCACGTTGGGTAATACTGTGACCCCTTCAAATCTGTCTGAAGCGTTGAACACCAGCAGACCCAAGAAAATAATGAAGGAGGCTGCATGTGCCACAAACTTCATAAATGGACTTCTGAGAACTTTTCCAAGCTGAGAAAGCAAAGGAGAATATATTTGTTTTTAAGCAATGTATGCTTTCACTTTCAACAAACGTGCCAAAAATGCATATTTAATGCTAAATTTCAATTTAGGGATACTTCTTTGCATGCAGTTTAACTATTGTAAAGCCATACTTAAGAATCCTTCGCCTAAATGACTGTTGTATATTTTTATGCTTTTGTAAACCATTTTGGAATCACATTTTGATGAAAAGTAGAACCAAATTGTTGGCAATCCTATGCAAAAGTTGAAAAGGTTTTGATTGAAACATTTTAATTGGCCTAAAGCAACCGCACACACTGTTGCAATCTCTGAGGGGCTTCTAGGGGTTCCCTCACTGCGAGGGAAGTCAGGTTTACAGGGAACCAAGCAGAGGGCCTTCTCGGTAGTGGCGCCGCCCTGTGGAACCCCCTCCCATCAGATGTCAAGGAAATAAACAACTATCTGACTTTTAGAAGACATCTGAAGGCAGCCCTGTTTAGGGAAGTTTTTAATGTCTGATGTTTTATTGTGTTTTTAATATTCTGTTGGGAGCCGCCCAGAGTGGCTGGGAAAACCTAGCCAGATGGCTGGGGTATAAATAATAAATTATTATTATTATCTCAAGCAAGCAGTATTAACAGGAGGCCTATGAGGCCACCAGTATGTTGGGTAACACATACTGATCCTTATAGTGTCTGTGTGTTTTTCTTTTCATAAACTTATATCCTACATTTCGTCCATCATTGAGCCCTAGGGGGTATTCATGCAGTTCTCAGGCTCTTGTATTGACCAGACCTCGTTAGCTTCAGCAAGATGATGGCCTCGTGTGCTTACAGATCATACTTGAGATAGCTTTTCTTCATAAGAGAGAAGAGAAGAAGATACAGGACCTCTTCCCTAGGTCATCCAAGCAGAGCAGCCACAACCTATTTTATTTAGTTTAGAAACCTGTTATAAATTACTAATCTTTAGCATTATTTTATTTGCATAGAGTGTTACTTCCTTTTAGTAACTAGGGTATTCATGCTCCAAATTCACTCGCCCAACAGAAGTACAGGATAAGAAACTGTAAAACATTCTGGTGTAATGGAAACGAATAATCACAATTATGTTAACAATAGCAATCATTTGGTTTCAGCAAGGTATCAAGAGAAACAGGAATATGGCCTTCAGCACACGACTGGGTCTCTCACTTCAACAGAGGCCTTTCTGAAATGAAATTCATTTACACACCAAAAAAGCCAAAAACAAAACCTTGTACCCTGCTACATGGTGCAATCCAGTACCCAACGGCAAGAAATGGAGGCCCAGTGCTACCACCAGCACAACTAGACACTTGATCGCAATGGCCTGTTCCCGTAGTCCTGAGAGGTTTTCATACCAGATGGTCAACAGCTGTTGCTGACAGTTTGGATGGGCCACAAACTGTGGGGAAAACAGAAGAAAAACAAGTTACACAGATACTGAAGCACATGTAATTAATGCACTGCAGGGTTGGGTAACCTGTGCCCCTCTCCCCAATATAAGTCATTGGACTCCAACTCCCATCAGCCCCAAAGCAGCATGGCAAACTGGATTGATGGAACAGCATGTGGAGGAACAAAGATTCTATTGCACCTATTGCAACAGCTCACATTTTCGATTTCTTAAGAATACAGACAATGCAAACATTAACATGTTAATAGAAGAGATATTTCAGTTGAGAGTTGAGAGAACCTTTCAGTTTCCATCAAATCTTTATATAATGACGAATAATTTGTATAACTATTTTGAATAACTATTGGGACACTGGATCATGTTACAAGCATATTCCTACTTAGAAACAGGAGCTGCATGCTGGAAATCATGTTTCTCCCTCTCATTACTATACTTGGGATAAAGGCTTTATTCTTTTTATTCTAAACTAAACAGGACCACTTTAAAATGAAATAAAAGGATCAATGGTGAAAGAGGGTATAATAATTTGCCTCTCCATTAGGGACAAAAATTTCACATGGCGTGAGATTCTTTTGAACAAGCGATCGCCCATTTATGGTCACCCAATACAAAAACTTCATGTTTGAAAAGGAATTATACCCCAATATAGCCACTGTGGAGGTGTTAGGGAACAGGGAACAGAATAATAGGTAAAGTAAAAAGGTAAAGGACCCCTGGACGGTTAAGTCCAGTCAAAGGCGATAATGGGGTTGTGGCGCTCATCTCGCTTTCAGGCTGAGGAAGATGGCGTTTGTCCACAGACAGCTTCTGGGTCATGTGGCCAGCATGAGTGAACCATTTCTGGCACAACAGAACACTGTGACAGAAGCCAGAGTGCATGGAAACGCCGTTTACCTTCCTGCCACAGTGGTACCTATTTATCCACTTGCACTGGTGTGCTTTCGAACTGCTAGATTGGCAGGAGCAGGGACCGAGCAATGGGAGCTCACCCCGTTGCAGGGATTTGAACCACCAACCTTCTGATCGGCAAGCCCTAGGCACTGTGGTTTAGACCACAACGCCACCCACATTCCCTTGAACAGAATAATACATTGAGTAGAAATGGCTCTTCTGATTGAGTGGTAGCTGGTGAGATGTGTTACTAGGTCAAATCAGCAGTGACCACAACATGGTGACAGGGAATTTAGACACATTCCTGTCCTTGCTGTGCAGCGATTGAAACTGGCTGTGGATGTGGTGGTGCCACAACCAGCACTTCGCAACTGCATAGTGGCTGAGTGGATGGTTACCACAACATGAGCACCACCTACTGAGATCATCAAGTTAACCATGCTTCCCAGAAGGTGCCTCATTGCCACTTAATGGGAGGAGAGGGAGCGGCAAGGCAGCATGGAGGTCAGGCAGTGTGGGCGCACTGGCAGGTGCACTGGATTGGCTCTGCCTGTGAGCCAACCTCCCCGCCACTCATTCCTCCTCCTCCTGGCAAGTGGGAGCAAGACAGCTGCCAGGAAGCCAGCATTGCAGCTCAGTCCCACTGGGTGAACAACTTCTGTCATGCGCTTATATAGTGCTATCTCTACTTTGTACTAACCTCCACTGTCAACTCATATCAAACGTGTACGTGGGGAATTTCCTCTCCCCCTTGTAGCAACCACAGTTGGATCCAAACCACAGGGTTAGATTCAAGGAACCCTGGCAGAAGGAAAATAGCCAATACTGCTATTCTGCAAATTCTAGGCATGGGTGGATCCGTTAGAGAGATTCAGTATGTCATGGATACAGTGGTGACGATAAATCAACAGCGGTAATTAGAGACTGCTTATTATGCAGTGTGTGTGTGTGTGAAAACACGGTGTTCTCTCTTCAGGATGAACAGCATTTTGTTTTAGCTACATACAAACTGCTGTCATAGTCACCTATGGAATTGGCACAGTGCCATAACATATGACAGAAATTCTCATGCTTCTGCTTTAGACACTGGCCTGATGCATAAGGGAGAATGTAATCTTTGGGTTTACCTCCACTTTTCTCAAACAAAGTTCTAGTGATGGATATAGAACAGCTCTTCTGTGAGTGGAAGAGCAGCTTTGAAAGACCATTGTGCAGTGTTAGAACACATGTTTGCATACAGAAAGCCCCAGATTCAGTCCATGGCATCTCCAGGCATGGATGAGAAATACCCTGGCTGAAACCCCGGAGAGCCTGTTGCTAGTTGGTGTAGCTCAGAGTAGGGAACCTTCTCTCTCCCTGCCCAAGAATCACATTCCTCTGGGGTAATCTGTTGGGGCCACATGCCAGCAGCAGGCAGAGTTAAAGCCCGTACAATAGTGAGGCCACTCATCTCTCACTATTTCTGTCACTCTCCCAGCAGCTTTTCTCTCTCTCTCTCTCTCCACCAAGAGGGCTGCTTAGGGATGGACAGACTGCTCTCATCAAGAGGGTTCCCCCGCACTTCTGCTCCTCCATCCATTTTGGCTTCCCCATCTGTAATGTACTGAGCTGAATCCTAGAACAATAGGATCCAGAATGCAGCAGTCTGATTGGTCCGCAGGAGCCACCCAATCCAGCTCCAGGTGGAAGTGAATCAGAGACCTGATTGGCCTGCAGGAGCAGCCAATCAGTCTCCTGGATGAAGTGAATCCGCAACCTGATTGGCTTACAGGAGCAGCCTGGAATTAGCCAATCACACAGAGCCCATTGTGTAAATAATGTATATATAGCTAGACGTTTCTGGGGAAAGTTTCATTCATTGCTACTACGAGCTGACTAAAGAGCATGAAATTCACACTCGACTCCGGGTAAATTTCACCATCCCCTTCTTCCAGCCTCCCACCACTGATGTGACTTTAGATCAAAAGCTGCATGCTAAATGGTGCAAGGCAGCTTTCTCTGTTCCTATGAATCCAACCCAATTTATATGACAAGAAACAAGCAGCTACAACCCCACACAGGAAACTTAGGTTTATCGATTCTACTGAAATCAATAGGCTTAAGCATGCCTTACTTGGTGTTTCATTTCCCAGTGGTATTTGGCTGGGCTGTGTTATAGCCAAAACAACTATAGACTCCGGTGGAACCTTAAAGACCAAGAAATGCTAGTTGTTTGTGGACTAGAACACTATCAGATTCATTATCAATTTTTGATCGTGGTCAATGTATCAAAGCAAAGTCCACCTGAAGCAATACTACCCACCAATACAATGAGGGCAAGCAATGCAGATAGTAACCGTACCATTCCCCAGTTTTGATTTTCCTGATAAATTACTTGTGAACAGGAGGAATCTATTTATTATGAAAATTAGGAAGACGTCAGGCTCTCAGTATGTATTCAAGCACCTGTATATTACACTAAATCACATGGGAATTCTCACTGGCAAATATTTATGATTGCAAAAAAAGACGCCTTCTGATTATGATGTTGCCAATATAACTCCAATAATAGTTTTTTTTAAGCTTCATTATCAGCTACTAAAATTATAATAGCAACCTATTCACATGTTGCCACGGCTCTTGAATCTGAGGCATATTTCTTAAAAATAATATTAAATTACAAGCTTCCTCGAATAAGCTATTTCAGACTTTAAAAGAAAGGCTCCTGAATGTACAGATAGTTATCACCATACAATTTTATGTTATTATTAGGTTTGTTTATTTGGCATGTTGCAGAGTTGCTAACATCACAGTAACACCTCCACAGGCTCAAATGAGATTGGAAACATGTTTTTTTCAGAAACTAAAAAATATTAACAGTTGTTCTTCTTTGGTGCAAGTGGGAATTTCATTTTAAATGTCCCTCACATACGTGATTAATATTTTCTGCTTAAAATGCAGTAGTTGTACATAAAGGCACAGAACAAAACGTGCAGCCCTTTGTACAAATAAAGGCAGGAGGCCAACCGTTTCCTGATATGTGGGCCTGCAACAAAATGTTGTTGTTTGAATTGCTCCTATTCAGAATGCCAGCCAGCTACCCATGTTCTCTTTCAGGATATTCCATTCCACCCAGTCCCCAATTGCCAGTCAGCATTCCACAGCCACTGAGTATGATCATGGGTAACACTTTTAAGCAATATGGTAAGCTAGGAAAACATTGTGGGGTTTTTGCATGCAAATAAGCAGTAAGTGCCAGAATTCTGAATATGAAAATGCCAGCAAAAATAGCTTTAAAGGGGTTTTTTTTTTAACTTACGTTCAGCATAGGTAAGGCTATTATCAGCCATTTACACAATATAACAAATCTTCAAGACATTTGGAAGGCCATAAAGATTAGTTCTAAATTTGCTTTGATTAAGGGCTCATCCACACTTATCTGCACTTTAAAGCTCTGTGTCTGAGTGCCATCCCCCTTTTTCTTTGATCTGGAGCTTTGCCCATGAAAATCCACTCTTTTAAAGCTGATTCGTAGCAAACAGCAATTCAGGTTTTTCCACAGACTGCCATTTGCTCTGATCCAGCCATGGGGAACCTTCATGAGCAAAAAAAGGAATGGGTGCTCAGCCATTGTGCTTTAAAGTGCAGACCATGCCTGTGAGAAGTGAGAAGGAAAGGCAAGCATGGATAAGCCTTAAAGTAGCCTTCAGGAGCAAGCTAACTTGCATTCTGCTATATCTACTGCTGAATTAGCTAGCATTGGCAGTTAAATTAGTAAGCATTCACAAAGTAATTAAAGAGCACCTGCACCAAAGAGAAGAAAATTATGTTAAAACTCTGAAATTACTAAATGTGCATGTTTTGTTATATAAAGCCAAAATCAGAGATGTGGCTGAGTTACACACTTGAGCACAAGCATCAGTCTTTTGGGGAAATCTTTCAGCATGCGTAAATTCTTCAGCAAGTCTAAAATGACTTTAGATATCAACTTTAGAGTTTTTAACTATCTATTCTTTGCAGCTGTGATGGTGTCAGGGTAGACATCACTGGGTACCTGCCAAGATACACACCCTAGCATTCCCTATTTCCACTCCCTAGAGTCCCCTGACCCCTTCTACTGTGACACAGCACATAAT